TTGTCGAGAGTACAGTATACTCTCCCAGCTCTCCCCAACGTCCATTTGCTGCTTCATCGTTTGAGGGCAGTTTTCAGTCTCTTGAATACAGGTTTCGGATAGATCTTCGGCTTGGCAAGGTTTTTGAGACGCTTGGAGCATCTCGCCTTTAACGCCATCGGCGACACGGTGAAGGCATCCTCTCGGAGATCCGTTTCTCTACCCGTCGGACGCTTAGCGGGCTTCGCCAAAGCGATTACTCTCTTGGAAGCTACGGCATTAAACGTTATACCTTACGCTGTATGCTCTCAATCCTATCCATTAACATCGGTTTTCCGCCGGCTTATTCTTATCAACGGGATTAAGGCCGCCAAGTAAAACTAACTGTTCCGCAAACGAATGAATATGATATAAATTATTTCATGTGCTCCTCTAATGGCAACCATAATTTCGCTTGAATTTCATTTTGTACATAAACCACAGCTGTGTGATATTTGTTTGATTAGTTGGTTAGCTGCTTTGTTACATGACTATGCGTGTGTAATAGCAATACGGATTAAATTTCTAAACGCATGCAGTGCGTTTGTGCCAGTGTCAATTGCAATTACAAACGTTCATGAATAAATAAATAAATGTCTAATGAGATAAAAGGCTTCGAGAGAGAGAGAGAGAGAGAGAGGGGGGGGGGGAATGTCACGTTAATTTACATTGAAATTATCTCGACTGAAAATATTCTAACAAAATGATTTGAATTTCATACAATCGATTCGTATTTTTTTAAAAATCTATACAGTCGCCTGTCAAAATTGAGGCGGAAAGAAGACCACCGCAGGTGGAAAATTTTTTTCAAAATATTATAACTACGGCTAAAAATTTGTTTAATATTTAATATTTTAATCTTCCTTCGCTTCTCGTGAAGGTAGAATGTATATTTTGATTTACGTCTCTTACTTCATGGACGCCGCAGAGCGCGCGTGAGATATATTGTAAAAGTTGCGCGCGCGATCGTTACACTACTACATGCTGCCGCGTCTCGTATTTTATTACAGACAGGATTTCAATGGGAAAAATGTGTTGCGCATCGGCTGACCCGTCGCGCGCAATTATACGTGAAAATTAAAAACCCCGGCCATCTTCCGGGGAGGCTTGTGCACGCATTTCCCATTATCGCCGAAAGGCTCGATGCATTTGCACGTTTTGTATCAAGCAACGTCTCGCGCGCGAAATTAAATTCCACGTCAGCGACGAGGGACGTCGGTTACGCCCGACGACAGCTCGAAGAGAAACTTGAGGAGGCATCTCCTCAGGAATATGTTACAGAGAAAGTTGGATGCGACGGACGGCGAGTGAAGTGATCGAGGATTCTAAGAGGAAAGAGAGAGAGAGAGAGAGAGAGAGAGAGAGAGAGAGAGAGAGAGAGAGAGAGAGAGACGAGGGAGAAGGACGAAGGGAAAAAGCTTTGTGGTTGACTTTGATATATTTCAATCGACTTTTGAATTCCTTAACATCCGTTTGTTTATATTTCTGCCGCGCCCTGAACAGGGATGATGCTTCAAAGGAAAATTGATCTACCATCGTACAGTCGACCATCGCGTATCGATCGATAATCGGAAGAAGACATCGTTTAATCAGAGGCGGCCGAGTAGGAAACGATATATACGTAGACGAAGCGAAAATCGAAATAACTGAATTGTACGAAAGATAGATGGATAGATGTCATTTATTACGTGATCTTGGGATTTGAGTTTCTTTCTCTCGCCCTCGGGATAGAATCACAGAATGTAGCTGAAGCGGCGAAAGATCAACGTACAAATGAAGGAAAATAAATAAAAATAAACGATAATAATGAAATGTGTTACAACAAACGTACGATGTAGGGGAAAAAAAACGCACAAAAATTCCACGTGAAAAATCCAGTGAAAATAGTTAATAAAAGAAAATACTGATATAAATGAAAGTTATATATAAAAAATATGTGATAGAATGTACATCGGGGGTGCGTATGTACGTACGGTGGGAAAATTGTGCGGCGAAGTGCGTAAGTGACGGAGAAGAATTATCGAGCGAGGGGTAGCATCGGAAAACAAACGACGATGTCACTGCGAGCGACGTCCTCATTAAATAATTACAATACCGGAGAGAGTGCCGCTAACATTATGGTATGGAATAAACGCTGCAGGCGGGATAGTCTGCGTCGAGCAGCACGGTAAGCATAGTGCGGCATCGCTAGCAGATCGGTAACAAAACACGTTTAGTGTGCCGCAGGCTTAATGTGTAGATCGTGTCCCGTTTATCTCTCCTGCGTCCATATCAAACGCTACAAAATCGTTACCTCGCAGTTATGGTTGAACGGAAAGATAACGCGAATTCCGCATTATATCACGAATTCACAGTGATACCCTAAACTAATAGCGGAATATTCGACGCCGATCGATTACCGGAGGTGTGCATACCCCGTATACGGGGTTTCTATTAATTCCGTAAATTTTTACCGAATTTCTCCAAATCAATTAACGATCCTATATGTATATATTAAAAAAAAAATATTTTTACCCGTCGACGTTTGCCAAAACCGTAATTCGGTCGAGATTTATTTTTCATCGACGCTGGATGCTGAAAGGTATACGCTTGTTTTACGATTGTTAAAAATATATATAGTCAATTTTTATTTTTATATTCCGCAATATGTAAAAATTCTTGCGAAAGCTCGATTTACCGCACAAGCTATTGAAGCATTCGTAACCATCGACGAGCAAATCCGTAATCTTCCTTGATGTAGCGACCGTGTGTCTGGGACCGACGAAATCACGGATCTCTCTGCTACGCAGGGTGTCTCAAAATCACAAAGAGAGAGAGAGACACGATGCCGAGGCGCGTCACGAATAGTAGGAGAATAAATGAAGAAAAATGTAACAGTTACGTTAATTGAGAATTTATTTCGAATTTTATTCAACATTAAGTTTGATATTTGAAAAATGCGATCGCTTTTCCATACTCATAAATACAAAGGCTTGCTCTTCAGTCTTAGTTTTAATGAGACATAAATACATCGGCATTTTAATTCAACGCTCGATTCTCAGCTCAAGTATTTTCCCGTTGAAATTTATATTTAAAAATTCCTAACAAATAGCGTGACTTTTCTCATGGAAACGCTCGTCGGGGAAAAATGCAGCCGGAGCTCGCGTTGAATCTCGACGGGGAGATATCCCCGTTGGGACACCCTGCGTATGAGCTTACTTACGACATCCAATAGCACGTGTAATAGTATTGGTGCGTGGTAGACCCTACATAGCTTACTCTGCATAGGCGACAACGAAAATGTCGCTTCCTCCGATCGACGGCCACGATTCCTCCGCAATGCCGAGCGAAGAAATCGAAGAAGCGGAAGAATCGCGACGGTGAAGCAAATATAATGTAATGGCATGTAAATGTAGCGGCGAGACGCGTGTTACTACCTATAGCCTTCGTCGCGGCCGGCGAAACGCGGCCTGGTATTCGGTATTCAATCTCCGGACGTATAGTCAGATACGTGAGTCTCTCCATTCTCTTGCTCATACGATAGACGAGTGCGCGCTCAGACACCCGGAATGGATCTCTTGGCGTGGGCTCATGTCGAATCAGTGGTAAAGCCAAGAAGGACACTCGCTCCATATCGACCGGCCTCCACTTCCTCTTCTTAATCTGAAAATATCGGGACGTGCGATCGATCGAGGGAACGAGCGAGCGAGCGAGCGAACCGGGACGGCCCCGTCACCGCCGGAAGTCGCGACGCATCGAACACTTTTATCTAGATCGATTAATATTGATTTATGAGAGAGTGGAAACGACGGTCGCTTACGGGTTTCCTCCTTTTGGGTCTTGCTTTGGGCGCAGCTAGTATCTCCAGGGCCCGCATGTGCCTTTGCCAATCTTCTGGTTTTGTAAGAGCTCTGCGTAGTTTCGCCATTAGCTTCCTCCTAGGTATACGAAAGCGAGGCATTTTATCGCGGGAATTTGGGTTTTAAAAACGCTTTGCTGAGGGGAAAAAAAAAAAATCAACGAGAGATTAATTAACGTTCCATTAGGAGGGGACTTGAGAAAACTTGCGTTATTAGCAGCATTCGCGGTTTATCAATGTCGGTTATACAAATTACTAAGTATGACAGTAACTATTATAAGCTGTTCATACCATAATTGCTGGCAGTAGTAAAAAAGAAAAAATTTATTATATGTTTCGTCTAACAGTTAAATAATTTCAAACTCTTTGTTTTATCAAAGTGATAGAGATATTTCCGATATGATTTCGATTGAGATTATTTAGCCACTAATGGAAAATTAAAGAATCTATAAAAATGAAAAGTGTGTGGCGGATTGTAGTTCTGTGGCGGAATATTCTATATATATATATATATATAT